AAAAAAAAAAAAAAAAAAAAAAAAAAAAAAAAAAAAAAAAAAAAAAAAAAAAAAAAAAAGAAGCCTGTCTCGTGGTCTCTTTTGTGTATGCTAAAGGGTGCAATCTGCAAGTCAATCGGGATCTTGGCTCTAAACCACCATCAAGTAACTCTAGCAAGAAAAACAATGGAGGGCTACAGAACGACAAGCATGGATCACAGGGGAGACTTCCGTGAAATTAATCATGTTGGAGGATTGGGGTATACTTTAGGCTTTGGCTTAACTTCTATTTCATTTACACTGCGGACATATATGGCATCTGGCTCGTGGCTACAAAATAAAACAACACAAAGAAGGAATGATGAGAAAGTTGTCGATGCATCAGTGTGTGACAGTGTCAGAGAGAGAGAGAGAGAGAGAGAGAGAACATACGGTTTATCTCCCTCTTCAAATGTGTAACTTGATGCTACAGCTAATAGGCGTCCATCTCTACTAAATGACAGAGCTGCAATACTTGTTGGGTATTTTGAATACTGAAAGATGGGGTAAAAAAATAGTGTGTTTTAAAAATCGTACTAGTTGTGGACAGAAACAAAAGTATTAGGTCATGGCTGAAAAACTTGCCTGATATAGTCTCTTCTTGTTGTTCCCATCCCAAACATTCACGTACCCATCACAACCTCCAGTTGCAAAAGTACCATAGCTGCAGCATCAGTAAACAGATGCCAAACAAATCAATATGGTAACCTGAGCATTGTTTAAAACCCATCCATTGATTTTTTTTTTTTTTAAAGCCTCTCATAAAACAGATGCATTATTTTGAATTATAAGGATAATATAGTCAATCCCTCCTTTTCAGCCTATCTATGTTCTCACTCGAGCTAAATCATTACTCAATATAAACCATAAACTCACATAGGATGGAATGCAATGGCATTGACCGGATAGACTATGTCCCTTCCAGCCTCTGATTTTCTGTGACATTTGAATGCGTACCTATAAAAAGACATTCACATACAGGGAATTACAACTCAGACTATCAATAAAGAATAAATAGCATCTTATTAAAAAGAAAGCATATTGCTATTGTGTCTAAAATGCAGAATATAACCAGAATTAGAATGGGGGATTGGGGGTGGTGGTTGTCGGGTTGGTGTTGTGATATGTTCAGAGTTAACATATACAATCACGAATACATAATCTGGGGTGAACCATTTTCTTCTATCTGTCACTCTTGAGTACCTTTTTGAGCTAGCCTAAAACAGTGTTTTTTTTTTCCTAACGAATTTTGTTAGAGGATATAAAGAATTCAACCTATTGCAGAGAAAGGAATGAATACAAAAGAATAAAAGGTATTTACATATTTCTTGTTATTGTTTAATTACCAACAACACCTACTTTTTAGCTTGACTAGCCTCTGAGGGATCAAAAAATTCCATAGCTACTCGTCCTTCAACAGAACTAAGAGCATAACCTGCATTCAGAAGAAAAATTATAAATCTATAAGTAATTGCAGTACCAAAGCCATGATGGTGCTTACTTGCAGCGTATTTTTAGTTAATTTAGTTCATAGAAATCACAGTAGAAAGAAGCCACATGAATGAAGCATTTCCATACTAAGAATAGGTCCTAGTTGCTACCCTCGGAATTCAAATAAACGAACTTCAAAACCTGTTTCACTAGGAAGTAAGGGAACAAAGTATGTACTGGCAGGGTTCAACCAAAATTCCATACATATCCTATAAAAAAGAATCTATATATATATATATTCCATACATATGAACAGCACAGAGAATTACATTGTCATTTAAAAAGAAGAAAGATGGTTCATGAATCAAGGATTTCAATTTAAAGGTCAGATTAACACCTGTTCCATTTGGATAACACCGCACACATCGAGTCTGATATTTCAATGAGGATTCTCTTCTTTGCTCGGGTTGAGACATATTTCTCAAGTCATAGACATTAACATGCCTTCCAGCAGTTGCTACAACTAAACGGTTCCCCACAAGAGAGAGTGAATAAACACGCTCAGGCTGAGGATATGTTCCAACCAGCGTATGTTCCTGACCGCTTGCACCTCTGGGATCCCAACACTTCAGTGTTTTATCCCAACTGCCAGTAATTAATTGCCCTGGAAAACCATTGACCTACGTTGTCAAATTTCCCATATTAAGATAAAAATAATAGAAATGATATCTAAAATGCAGTGACATAGCACATATTTCATTGAGTACATAATTCTATCATCCAGAAACAACAATGGACATCCCAAATCCCTTCCTCTGGCATTTTCAACTTAACACATTTTTTTAAGATGCTAGTACCTGCAATAATTTTATAGTAACCATGTTTCACGAGGGAAGAAAAAAAGACACTAAGGGTTGCTCCAAAAAGTTCATCCAAATAAAGTGAATTAGAACCAATGTAGTAAGGTCAAACAAAATATCATTTGGTTTTCCATTGACAAAACAATTTTCCCTTTCCATTCACTCCCTTATGAATAAGATAGAAAATGATTCATTAAGTAGCATAAACTGATGATCTTTTAAATCTTCTGTGGCCTTAAGTACAAGAAATGTTAGGCACATTGAAACTTGGTAAATTACTAGCCAATCCATATGCTCTCATCTCAATAAAATTCTAGTAGGTATAAAAGTAGAGGTCGTAATGTGCTTCTCCCTGGGTTTCTTGTAGCAACCATGTCTTGAAATCTCTCAACCAATTACAAATTATGGGGTAATGTGTTATCCCCTCCTATTTTATTTATTTATTTCCACAAAAGATTTCATAATTGACCCCAACTATTAGTAAGTAACAATATAGTACCTGAGCTTAATTTCATCAATTTCAACTACTAACAACTTACTGGAAAAGTAACCATAACATGCTCAAGGACTAATTGATCACATTAAAAGTTTGAGGGCTACACTGAAAACATCTTAACAGTTTAAAAATATGCAACCTGCCTTTCAAAATCTAATTCGATCTTCCAACTCAAATTTTACTGTGAATTAACAATAAATAAGCGTAGAGCGAGTTAAGTTTTGTTCTTATTCATTACAAGTTTTAATTTGGCCCTCTCCTACTATTTTGGTACTATACCAAATCTACAAGCACAACTCTCATGTAAAATTTCTAAATGGCTAATTAAGCAGAGCTCCTTTCTTCTTCAGAGATAAAACACTCAGAACACTCAATTAAAAACCAAGCCATCAACAAAAATATACCTGCCGCGTAAGAATACTCAACGCACCGCACAGGTGCATCATGCTTCCCTAATATATCCTCCTTATTATGATTGAAAACAAGCCTGAAACATTTCAGAAAAAAGTTAAACTTGTTTCCAAAATTTCCAAGCTCCTAGCATAAAAATTCTGCACAGTCGAATCAGCAAGATTTCCCAAGTAAGAAGACAAAAAAAGAAAAAAGAATACAGAACCACTCACCTCCTGACAGTGTTGTCAACACTCACACTGAATCCCGAAGAATCGTCGTGGAAACAACAGTCGAGCACAGGACCACCGTGTACGAACTCACCGCGGAGCACGTTGGCGCTGGCGTCGTACAAGCGCACAGTCTAAGAATACAGAAGAGTAAAATGAGGTGAGAAATGAGGAGAAGTGATATAGGGAGTTACAAGAACTTTACCTTGTCCCAAGAGGAAACCAGTAGGTGGTCACTGTGGTTGGAGAACCGGAGATTGGAAATGCCGTCAGACGGAGGATTTGAAAGCTCCCGGCCAGCAGGAGGAGGAGGGATGGCTGTCATGGCGCAAACTCCTTGGCGGATGACCGATGAGATGGAGAATTAGGGTTTTTCTCTGAATACTTGGAGATTTGTTGAGTGAGAGAAAGAGAATCGAAGAGGGAAGCAGTTTCCAAAATTTGATTTTTTGAATTTGAGGACGAGAAACATTTATATACGAAAATCTTTTGGACTAATCTAGATACTCAGCTCAATACAACTCTCTATTTTTTTAATTATTTTTAAAAAAATTACTTATCCACAATACATATTATATTAATATCGATTACAAACATTAAATATTTTTAATTTTCCTACCAAATTCAGAAGAGGTAAGATTGGGTTATTACTCTATTTTTGGATTGGTTTAGTTGACCCGACCAAAAAATTGTCAATGGACAAACCAACATGAATTTTTGTTTTTCAAAAAATTCGACCTAATCCAAATCGAAAAAAGAAACTAACTCAACTCAACCCTTACGGTTTGATTGGAGTTCTCGAGTTCACAAATTTAAAATAATTGAAAATAAATCATAATGTCCCGTAGTGTATAATGCATTATACTGTTGTGTGTTGAGTTCGCTTATAATATGGTCATTAAGAATAATATCAATACAGAACTATGATAAGTGTATTAAGAATAAGCTTCAACGATATCTTATAATTCACATATACGGGAACATTTCAAATAACTAATTAGAATTATTAAAAATAAATGTATTATATCATATAGATATTTGTGTCCTTAAAATATACCATGAAAATAATTCAAATCGTATATTAAATTTAAATTAACATGTTTTTTTTAATAATTATGGTCTGTTTTAACCTGTAATTCATCACATTCCCCTCTTCAACTGATGTGAGATCAGACGATCCACCTTTTTTTGCTGCTTTGACCCATAACATATTTTTGTTTCTCTCTAACTGACGTAGTATCTCACAATCCACTCCTTGGGAGCCAGCTTCCTCACTAGCAAACCGCCAATTGTCTAACTCTGATATCATTTATAACAACTCAAACCCACTAAGACAAGACCATTTGTAACAACTCAATCAAAGCTATGTCTTTACATATACGTCACATATAACAACCTTTATTAAAAAATACTTGAGCCAATATTAGTATATTTTGTTCACGTACATTAATAAATAAAATAAAATAAAATAAAATAATCAAACTTTGATATTATTAAAAGAGATCCATTGCCTCATGCTCTAGCTATAGTTTTTTTTTTTCTTTTTTTTTTCTAATAATTAAATAATGTTATTTAATTCCTTCCTCTCCTCATTCTCCTATAAAAAAAATTCAGCACATCCTTTTTTTCTATTCCCATTTTATATAAAATTAATTATTGCGTCATAAAAAATGATTATATTATATGTAAGGAAGAAATTTAAGTTTTTTTTTCTTTTTCACTTTTGAATTTTTTATTCCATTAATTTCCAACCATGATTAATTAATAAATTATTTATTTATGAAAGAAAATAAAATAACTTCATAAAAATAGATTGGTCTTAAATACATAGCATAATTTTAACTAATAAAATAATAATTCTTAATTAGCCTAATTTTAGTACATGAATTAAAATATAAACAACATGCATTATTCGATGAAAAAAAAAAGAAATTAAAAAATTATTTATTTAACAAAGAAAGTATTATTTATATTGAGAAAATTAATTAAAAGGCATAATTTTTTTAATTAAAAAATAATATATAATATAATAATATAGGAAGTAAATTAACGCGTTTTGAGCTGCCAGCTCTTTCCAACAAGGCAGTTGAAATTCTATCTCCAACCATCGTGATGGCATGCACATAATTCTTACAATTTTCTTTTTTTTTTCAAAATTAAACACAATAATTTCATCAATTAATTAATAATAATAATAATAAAATAATAAAATAAAATTATTAACTATATTTATAAGATATATGTTGATTAACGGTGCGCTTGAACTGTTACAATATTATTAGAGTTAGACATCGAGCACATTGTAGCCAGACATTAGACGACGTGCCAGTGAGATCAATGGCTCTTAAATAAATGGATTATAAATTTTATGACTAATTAATTTTTTGCTATATTTCTAGTGCAAATTTATAAATTTTATATGACATTTATAAATATATATACAAGCAGCCGGCTATATTATAATTCAATAAACATAAATATCTAAGACATGTTTTTTGTTTTTTAATTTTTTAAGGAAACATTTTAATGAAAATAAATATAATTAATTTTCTATCGATAATAAATTTATTTTCGAAAACATTCTTATAAGAAATGTTTCGTTACTCTCTGTGACTGATGTGAGATTTCACATGCATGGTTTTTTAAGTTTTTGCAGCAATTACGGGAGTGAAGGATCGAATCTGTAATTTTCGAAACTATAATTCGTATCTTATCTCCTTAAACTATATGTTCGGATTGACCAGTAATATTATTACTAGGAGCTCGACGTTTGGACATTACTCGACTGTAATTTAACCTATATTTTTGTTGAGACCTACTAGTATTTTGTCACCTTAAGATCTTTAAACGATGCAAACAATAAAACTTAGCACGAGGCAAGACTTTGAAATTGTATGTCATAGGTTCATCAATAACGTCGATAAGATAAATTTATTTAACCGGTAACTTAATTGAGCGGAAAAAAACGATCGTAACCCAACTAGCTGTAAAGTATTTTTTAAGTTAACCCGAGATCTAATAAATTAATAAGTGAATTAATGGGAAAGAAGACCTGTTTAAGAATGAGGCCAAAGAGCATTTCCAAAGGGCATCTTTCATTTTCAAATCAACCATTCCACTCTTTGAGAATATATTTATGAGTGTCATTATCACCACATCCCACAAAATTATTGTAGTTTTTTAGTCTTCCCAAAGTCTATGACTAAATGAAGCTAATCAAACAAACCTTTCTTTCACTTTAATGGTATGACAAAGACATGATATCGACAACCGTAAAAACCCGAACCTGTTGGTTATTAGCACATACTTCAATTTTCTCTCATTCCCAAAAAAACCCGAATCCAGTTCGTGACGAAAACCCATGACACAGTAAGGAAAAAGAAAGAAAAAAAGAGATACATTGTGAGATCACACGTCAGTTGGAGAGGAGAAACAAAATATTCTTTATAAATGTGTGGTTATCTTTCCTTAGTAGACGTGTTTTGAAAACCTGAGGCTGACTGCAATACGTAACATGTCAAAGCGGACAATATCTATTAACAGTGGGTTTTGGTTGTTACAAATGATATCAGAGCTAGACACTGGGTGATGTGTCAACGAGGACGCTGAGCTCCAAGGAGGTGGATTGTGAGATCCCACATCAGTTGAAGAGGGAAACGAAACCTTCCTTATGAGAGTGTGGTTACCTCTCCCTAATAGTAGACGCATTTTAAAAACCGTGAGGCTGACTGCGATACGTAACATGTCAAAGCGGACAATATCTACTAATAGTGGGTTTTGGTTGTTACAAATGATATCAGAGCCAGACACTAAGTGGTGTATCAGCAAGAACGCTGAGCCCTAAGGAGGTGGATTATGAGATCCCACATCAGTTGGAGAGGGAAACGAAATATTCTTTATGAGTGTGTGGTTACCTCTTCCTAATAGACGTGTTTTAAAAAACACGAGGCTAACTGCGATACGTAACATGTCAAAGAGGACAATATCTGCTAACGGTGAGTTTGAGCTGATACAAATGGTATCAGAGCCAGATACCAGAACGCTAGATATCCGAATGGGTAAATTATGAGATCTCACATCAGTTGGAGAGAGGAACGAAACATTTCTTGAAAGGATATAGTTACCTCTGGTTTGACAACAATACATAACGAGCCAAAATATACCATATCTATTACCAGTGGACTTGGACGGTAACACGTAATCATTGATTCTATCTAAAAGACCAAATATCACCAACCAAGTTCTTTTCCTTTTGTTTTTGTCTTAATGGAAACTGAAAAAGGCTGCATTTTTTAATCCATCAATGACAGTTGGTTAAGCTTTTGAGTTGTCTTTGGGCCCTTTGTCCCTCTTTAGGGTATTAAACTAAGAACATAAGTCAACTTCATTTTTGTTTATAAATGAGCTTCAACAATTTGTATCCCATCTTCTCAAGCATCAAAGAACCATAAAAAAGTCTCCTTTTTCTTGTTTTTGGTAACCCCAATGGAACCTATAGGACCCATTTCAGAAAGGGAATGGATATCTCTCAGTGGAGCTTACACAGCTGAGGAGTCTGATTTCATGGCTAATTTTCTCAACAACTATTGTCTTCCAAACGAGCTCAATCCCAGTTCGAGCTCGGCCGTCCCGTCTGCTTGTTTGGCCATGGCACCCATGGATGAACCTTCTTACTATAATAATCCTTATTACACCTTGAATGAGAATGATTCTCACCCTCTTTGGTTGCCTAATAATGGTGCCTCTTTGTCCTTGGATTTCTCGATGGAGGATGTTCGGAATGGCGATCGATTGGACGATAGCGGTTCAAGTCGAAAAACAAGGCAATGCAGGCTGCAACAATTCCCTGCTGGAAGCTCACAGCCCGAAAAGAGAGCTGAGATCATGGTGGAAGAAGCTACGAAGGACGATAAAGTTGCGCCGACACCCGTTGACACCAACTCAAGGAAGCGGTCCCTGAGTTCGTATAATGTAAGATTGATAATTCGAACTCATTTGTTTCTTTGATTCTAATGGTTAGGAATTACGAGTCTTTACAATGGTATGATATTGTCCACTTTGAGCATAAGCTCTCGTGGCTTTGCTTTGGGCTTCCCCAAAAAGCCTCGTATCAATCAAGATGTATTTCTTAAATTAGTCAATGCGAGACTCCCTCACAATGGTCCTCAACACTAATGGCATTGCGCTTTGTGATTCGGTAATGAAGGTCGAAAAGACGAAGACGAGTACGAGGAACACAAGGGCACGAAAGAGCTCGAAGATTGCTTCGGCTAGCTGCAATGAAGAGGAGGATCACATTGTTAGTCCAAATGGGCTGTGCACAAGCAGCTTCAGCTCAGAAGATGATTGTAATGGTGGAATCACTCCCAGCTCAACCCTGAGCTCAAGTGGAAAGCCAAGAGCCAGTAGAGGCTCAGCCACAGACCCT